GATATACAGGAGAAGTATGCAATCCCTCATCAGGTTTTAGTGGATATATAGGAAAAGTATGCAATCCCTCATGAGGCTGTAGTGGATATATAGGAGAAGTATGCAATCCCTCATGAGGCTGTAGTGGACATACAGGAGAAATATGCAATCCCTCATGAGGCTGTAGTGGACATACAGGAGAAGTATGCAATCCCTCATGAGGCTGTAGTGGACATACACGAGATGTATGTAATCCCTAATGAGGCTGTAGTGGACATACAAGAGAAGTATGCAATGCCTCATGAGGCTGTAGTGGATATACAGGAGATATATGTAATACCTCTTGAGGCTGTAGTGGACATACAGTAGAAGTATGCAATCCCTCATGACGCTGTGGTGGAAATACAGGAGAAGTATGTAATGCCTAATGAGGCTGTAGTGGATATATAGGAGAAGTATGTTATGCCTCATGAGGCTGTAGTGGACATAATGGAAAAGTATGCAATGCCTTATGAGGCTGTAGTGGGCATGCAGTAGAAGTATGCAATGCCTCATGAGGCTGTAGTGGACATACAGGAGAAGTATTCAATCCCTCATGAGGCTGTAGTGGACATACAGGAGAAGTATGCAATGCCTCATGAGGATGAAGTGGGCATATAGGAAAAGTATGCAATGCCAATATAGTGGATATACAGGAGAAGTATGTAATGCCTCATGAGTCTGTAGTGGATACACAGGAGAAGTATGTAATGTCTCATGTGGCTGTTGTGGCTATACACGGGCAGTATGTAATGCCTCATGAGGCTGTAGTGGGCATGCAGTAGAAGTATGCAATGCATCACGAGGCTATTGTGGATATACAGGAGAAGTATGCAATGCCTCATGAGGCTATAGTGGATATACAGGAGAAGTATGCAATGCCTCACGAGGCTATAGTGGATATACAGGAGAAGTATGCAAAGCCCCATGAGGCTGTAGTGGACATACAGTAGAAGTATGTAATGTTTCATGTGGCTGTTGTGGATATACACGGGTAGTATGTAATGCCTCATGAGGCTGTAGTGGGGATATAGAAGTATGCAATGCCTCACGAGGCTATAGTGGATATACAGGAGAAGTATGCAATGCCCCATGAGGCTGCAGTAGACATACAGTAGAAGTATGTAATGCCTAATGAGGCTGTAGTGGGCAAACAGGAGAAGTATGTAATGCCTAATGAGGCTGTAGTGGATATAAAGGAGAAGTATGTTATGCCTCATGAGGATGTAGTGGAAATAAAGGAGAAGTATGTAATGGCTTATGAGGCTGTAGTGGGCATGCAGTAGAAGTATGTAAAGCCTAATGAGGCTGTAGTGGATAAACAGGAGAAGTATGTAATGCCTAATGAGGCTGTAGTGGATATAAAGGAGAAGTATGTTATGCCCCATGAGAATGTAGTGGATATTCAGGAGAAGTATGTAATGCCTACTGAGGCTGTAGTGGATATACAGGAGAAGTATGTAATGCCTGATGAGGATGTAGTCGATATAAAGGAGAAGTATATAATGCCTTATGAGGCTGTAGTGGACATACAGGAGCAGTATGCAATGCCTAATGAGGCTGTAGTGGATATATAGGAGAAGTATGTTATGCCTCATGAGGATGTAGTTGGCATACAGGAGAAGTATGTAATGCCTTATGAGGCTGTAGTGGACATACAGGAGAAGGATGCAATGCCTAATGAGGCTGTAGTGGATATATAGGAGAAGTATGTAATCCCTCATGAGGATGTAGTTGGCATACAGGAGAAGTATGCTATGCCTCACGAGGCTATAGTGGATATACAGGAGAAGTATGCAATGCCCCATGAGGCTGCAGTGGACATACAGTAGAAGTATGTAATGCCTAATGAGGCTGTAGTGGGCAAACAGGAGAAGTATGTAATACCTTATGAGGCTGTAGTGGATATAAAGGAGAAGTATGTTATGCCTCATGAGGATGTAGTGGAAATAAAGGAGAAGTATGTAATGGCTTATGAGGCTGTAGTGGGCATGCAGTAGAAGTATTTAATGCCTAATGAGGCTGTAGTGGATAAAGAGGAGAAGTATGTAATGCCTAATGAGGCTGTAGTGCATATAAAGGAGATGTATGTTATACCTCATGAGGATGTAGTGGATATACAGGAGAAGTATGTAATGCCTGATGAGGATGTAGTCGATATAAAGGAGAAGTATATAATGCCTTATGAGGCTGTAGTGGACATACAGGAGCAGTATGCAATGCCTAATGAGGCTGTAGTGGATATATAGGAGAAGTATGTTATGCCTCATGAGGATGTAGTTGGCCTACAGGAGAAGTATGTAATGCCTTATGAGGCTGTAGTGGACATACAGGAGAAGGATGCAATGCCTAATGAGGCTGTAGTGGATATATAGGAGAAGTATGTAATCCCTCATGAGGATGTAGTTGTCATACAGGAGAAGTATGTAATGCCTCATGAGGATGTAGTGGGCATATAGGAGAAGTATGTAATGCCTTTTGAGGCTGTAGTGGACATACATGATAAGTATGCAACGCCTAATGAGGCTGTAGTGGATATATAGGAGAAGTATGCAATGCCCCATGAGGTTGTAGTGGACATACAGGAGAAGTATGTAATGCCTTATGAGGCTGTAGTGGATATACAGGAGAAGTATGCAATGCCTCACGAGGCTATAGTGTATATATGTGAAGTATGCAATCCCTCATGAGGCTGTAGTGGATATATAGGGGAGTATGTAATCCCTCATGAGGCTGTAGTGGATATACAGGAGAAGTATCCAATCCATCATGAGGTTGTAGTGGATATATAGGAGAAGTATGCAATCCCTCATGAGGCTGTAGTCGATATACAGGAGAAGTATGCAATCCCTCATGAGGCTATAGTGGATATACAGGAGAAGTATGTAATGCCTAACGAGGCTGTAGTGGATATAGAGGAGAAGTATGTAATCCCTCATGAGGCTGTAGTGGATATATAGGAGAAGTATGCAATCCCTTATGAGGCTGTAGTGGACATACAGGAGATGTATGTAATCCCTAATGAGGCTGTAGTGGATATATAGGAGAAGTATGTTATGCCTCATGAGGATGTAGAGGACATAATGGAGAAGTATGCAATGCCTTATGAGGCTGTAGTGGGCATGCAGTAGAAGTAGGCAATCCCTCATGAGGCTGTAGTGGACATACAGGAGAAGTATGCAATGCCTCATGAGGCTGTAGTCGACACACAGGAGAAGTATGTAATGCCTCGCGAGGCTGTAGTGGTATATAGGTGAAGTATGCAATGCCTCATGAGGCTGTAGTGGGCATATAGGAGAAGTATTCGATGCATCATGAGGCTGTAATGGACATACAGGAGAAGTATGCAATCCCTCATGAGGCTGTAGTGGATATATAGGAGAAGTATGCAATGCCTCACGAGGCTATAGTGTATATATACGAAGTATGCAATCCCTCATGAGGATGTAGTGGACATACAGGAGAAGTATGCAATCCCTCATGAGGCTGTAGTGGACATACAGGAGAAGTATGTAATGCCTCACGAGGTTGTAATGGTATATAGGAGAAGTATGCAATGCCTCATGAGGCTGTAGTGGGCATATAGGAGAAGTATGCGATGGATCATGAGGCTGTAGTGGGCATATAGGAGAAGTATGCGATGCATCATGAGGCTGTAGTGGGATATAGGAGAAGTATGCAATGCCTCATGAGGCTCTAGTGGGCATATAGGAGAAGTATGCAATGCCTCACGAGGCTGTAGTGGGCATATAGGAGAAGTATGCGATGCATCATGAGGTTGTAGTGGGCATATAGGAGATGTATGTAATGCCTCATGAGGCTGTATTGGACATACAGTGGAAAACCAGCTTGCTCATGTTCAAACATGAGAAAAAGGCTTTCTGGAAATATTGTAATTTATCTGTGGTTCGCCGTACCAAGGTCACAAACTGACCATAGGGAATCATACAAGAGACATAATGAGCTGCAGTGCCTTTATTGAGAGGACACTGGTAGGTCTCGACCATGCCAGTGGCACCGGGAGTCCAAGGAGTTAACTGTCACCCTGCAACTACGGCAGTGTTTGCCTTTTACAAGTACAAGCACACACTTTTATGCAGTTGTTCCAGTGATTAATACAAAGGTACAATAGTCACTTGGTTGCCGTTAAATCTGAACAATGGCATGGTCGGACACAGCAGTGATCATAAAGATGTGTGACTTGCAATGTGCAATGTCATTTGGTTCAAGTTAAATCAATCGATTGACATTTGCATGATGGAACGTTTGAATTATTAATATAGAAGCTCAGACTGGAAATTCCTAGCAGGTGGCATGCTGCACGGTGCGTGGGCCACTGACACAAAGCACATACAGCTCAACGTGCGACCCTTAGTCATATAAAATAACACTTTTATTGTATGCCGTTGCCACGCCATCTCTCCTACATGACATGGCATTTACTTTGTTGTTTTACTGTTGCCTTTATACTTCTTTATACATATTACTTATATATGCACATTTTGTAAACATATACAAATAAGGTAAATGTGTGACAATATTCCGCCTTTTCTATACATTTCAGTTGTACCTGACTAGCTGTACAGTTAGTGTTGTTATATGTCGAAACATGATAGTATTGAATTGAATAAAGTCTAATTCTACATAAATCCTCCAAAACTTCTAAAGGTTTTGCTCATTACCTTAATGATGCATTTGCCGTCATACCTTATCCCGTCTGTATTGTGTCTCACTCATTTCAATCAATGCCAACTATTTTGAAATTATTTAGTTATCAAAGCGGCGGCTCCAGCAATAGAACCCTTGAAATATTGATTATATTTGTTCCCTCCCAACTGGAACGGAGAATAAAGACTACACGCATCACCAACTAATACCTTTCATGGCATTGCCATATTTCTAAGAATCAGCGCTTCTCTGGGAAAGCTGTTGTTCAATAGTAGGCAAAATCATTATTACCTTAGTGACAGCAAAACAAAATCGTCATTACCCCAGTAACAGTAAACAAGTTGCGCAATGAGTATAACTAACCATCTGGAAACAGACCTCGGCTTATAGTGTCCACTGGCTGGGACGCACAGAAACAAGGTATGCAATTATATTTTAATATTTTTTTAATAGTCATCTAATCAAGAACGGATGATAGGTAGGAGTACAATTCTCCATTAGTATACTTTTCCATGGGTTTCACTTAAACTTGTCCATGTGATGCTGATTTAGTGCAGCTACACGTTTCTTATTTCCATTCTTCTCAAAGCTGACACAGAAATATGGAACAGGGCATGGTAATATTGAAATCCCGAAGACATTAAATCCTCTTACTGCATCTCCTGCAAATATGAGACGTGCTTACAATAGAAGGGAATCCTACACGTATGCACCAACAGGATATCAACCTAAAGCAAAAATCGTTTAAATTTGGTTGAAAAGTTGAAAACTGCTTCAGTGTCTGTACAATCCAATAAACCCTTTCTAGACGTAACAGACACTCACTAGACGCGAGGCAGGCTGATAAGGGGTCTAGAGACTGGTTGAATTGTCGATGTATTGTGATTTGCATGTCAAGATTGTAATTGTACTGACAAGCATAAATATCTACAGGCAAAATATTGACTGTATATCCATTCTATTCTATATTAAATTCAGTAAATGTATTGATCAGGGTTAGTATGGAATCCTAGAAGGAACATTTTGACCTTGGGAAAAAATGACGTGTTGTCGCCTTATTGTAAAAGTAAAAAATAGTTTTCATAGCGCGACAAATAGTCAAAATGTCGCACTGTCGCGCTTTGGCTCATTATGACACTTTTTCCTTGTTTTTGTAAGGGCGACAACGCAATAATGCCCTTTCTAGGATTCCATAGGTTAGAATTGGTCTTCGGCAACACATATTTGTCGTAAGAGTTGACTAATGGGTTCGGGTGGTCAGGCTCGCTGCCTTGGTTCATGCATGTCATCGTGTCCCAATTGCTTACATAGGAGGTCATGATGTCAATCACTTGATTGTCTGGTCCAGATTCGATTATTTACAGATCGTCGTCACATAGCTGAAATATTGCTTGGAATTAAACAACAAACAAACACACAAAGTAAATATATTACTCATGTACTTTCGTTGGTGGATTCCCTATTTTGGCATCTACAGTTGTTCATGTGTTCATGTCCAATAATGCCGCTAAATAGAGGATATTTTGATATGCAAATAAGAACAAAAAGATGTGTATCATATGATTTTGCTATATCATGCCAATTTGCAATCTTTTCTATGAAAAACCAATGACGATACGATTTTTTAGCGCAAATCGATTTTTAAAGCATACCTGTCTTCACACTGTGACGCTACAGGACATCGTCCTAATTGTGGAAGGTCCTTCACAACATTGGTTTGATCAGTTTTTCTCACCCATCAGCTGATTACTGTGCAACAGTTGTCAAGTTGACGATAGTTTTAAATGACAACCCTGTGGAATGCATGCCGATTATGTGCCACTATTTTGAAGAACGGTTCGTATTAACATGTTCGACTATTAAACACTGATATTATACAGCCGTTTCTGGAAGCAACCCTTTGCAGAATGTTGAGACGCAGATGTTTTGTAGTGAAATATTTTCATTTTACAGATGCTTCTTTGGCAATTTTTAATGCAAAGGAGCAGATATTTTAATACTGATGTTTTCATGGAGACTCACTTTGTAACGAACATTTGCTGCTTGAAGAGTCTCATACGTCTTTTAGCTTCTTAAAACAGATTTGTACATACTACTATGTACATATCTTATACTGTAGGCATATTTATTAGAATGCATATCTTCGCGTGTAATATCCATGTGCGTGACACTTTAATAAATTATTTACAAGCACATGTTCAAGTACACAACAGTGGCATTTGCCCTCGAAGCCATAGGCTGTCATGTAGCTTCATTATCGTAATTAGTTATATCACTGAACATTGGTCAAAGGTTTATTCAGTAAAGTAAAAATTGAGCAGACAGAGGTTGTAGTTCCTTGATCGAACACACACTGCGTTGAATACAGCTAGTGACTTTATAATCTCTATTGGAAAAATCAGTGGTTAGGGCTTTTAAAGAATTAGCACTTGCTTGGCAGATAGGTTTCGTTGGGACGTGTAGTCTTCTTGTCGCTTGTTCTCGTGAGACTGTTATTATGGTTAAATACCATCAGTTTCAGAGTGTAATATGAAGATGAGGAAACTTCTATATGTATTCAATAATAGGATACTCCCTGACTGATAATGAATCCACCCTTACGTAAGTTTATAATGATCCATTCCTCCTATGTGAATAACACAAGTCGTATGTAAGAATATGACGATCCGTTCTTCCTGTGTTTAGAGCATAAGTCGTGTGTAAGATTAGGGTGATCCGTTCTTCCTGTGTTTAGAACATAAGTCGTGTGTAAGATTATGGCGATCCGTTCTTCCTGTGTTTAGAACATAAGTCGTGTGTATGATTAGGGCGATCCGTTCTTCCTATGTTTAGAACACAAGTCGTGTGTAAGATTAGGGTGATCCGTTCTTCCTGTGTTTAGAACATAAGTCGTGTGTAAGATTAGGGCGATCCGTTCTTCCTGTGTTTAGAACATAAGTCGTGTGTAAGATTAGGGTGATCCGTTCTTCCTGTGTTTAGAACATAAGTCGTATGTAAGAATTTGACGATCCGTTCTTCCTGTGTTTAGAGCATAAGTCGTATGTATGATTAGGGCGATCCGTTCTTCCTATGTTTAGAACACAAGTCGTGTGTAAGATTAGGGTGATCCGTTCTTCCTGTGTTTAGAACATAAGTCGTATGTAAGAATATGACGATCCGTTCTTCCTGTGTTTAGAGCATAAGTCGTATGTATGATTAGGGCGATCCGTTCTTCCTATGTTTAGAACACAAGTCGTGTGTAAGATTAGGGTGATCCGTTCTTCCTGTGTTTAGAACATAAGTCGTGTGTAAGATTAGGGCGATCCGTTCTTCCTGTGTTTAGAACATAAGTCGTGTGTAAGATTAGGGTGATCCGTTCTTCCTATGTTTAGAACACAAGTCGTATGTAAGAATTTGACGATCCGTTCTTCCTGTGTTTAGAACATAAGTCGTATGTATGATTAGGGCGATCCGTTCTTCCTATGTTTAGAACACAAGTCGTATGTAAGAATATGACGATCCGTTCTTCCTGTGTTTAGAACATAAGTCGTGTGTAAGATTAGGGTGATCCGTTCTTCCTGTGTTTAGAACATAAGTCGTATGTAAGAATTTGACGATCCGTTCTTCCTGTGTTTAGAGCATAAGTCGTATGTATGATTAGGGCGATCCGTTCTTCCTATGTTTAGAACACAAGTCGTGTGTAAGATTAGGGTGATCCGTTCTTCCTGTGTTTAGAACATAAGTCGTATGTAAGAATATGACGATCCGTTCTTCCTGTGTTTAGAGCATAAGTCGTATGTATGATTAGGGCGATCCGTTCTTCCTATGTTTAGAACACAAGTCGTGTGTAAGATTAGGGTGATCCGTTCTTCCTGTGTTTAGAACATAAGTCGTGTGTAAGATTAGGGCGATCCGTTCTTCCTGTGTTTAGAACATAAGTCGTGTGTAAGATTAGGGTGATCCGTTCTTCCTATGTTTAGAACACAAGTCGTATGTAAGAATTTGACGATCCGTTCTTCCTGTGTTTAGAACATAAGTCGTATGTATGATTAGGGCGATCCGTTCTTCCTATGTTTAGAACACAAGTCGTGTGTAAGATTAGGGTGATCCGTTCTTCCTGTGTTTAGAACATAAGTCGTATGTAAGAATATGACGATCCGTTCTTCCTGTGTTTAGAGCATAAGTCGTATGTATGATTAGGGCGATCCGTTCTTCCTATGTTTAGAACACAAGTCGTGTGTAAGATTAGGGTGATCCGTTCTTCCTGTGTTTAGAACATAAGTCGTGTGTAAGATTAGGGCGATCCGTTCTTCCTGTGTTTAGAACATAAGTCGTGTGTAAGATTAGGGTGATCCGTTCTTCCTATGTTTAGAACACAAGTCGTATGTAAGAATTTGACGATCCGTTCTTCCTGTGTTTAGAACATAAGTCGTATGTATGATTAGGGCGATCCGTTCTTCCTATGTTTAGAACACAAGTCGTATGTAAGAATATGACGATCCGTTCTTCCTGTGTTTAGAGCGGAAGTCGTGTGTAAGATTAGGGTGATCCGTTCTTCCTATGTTTAGAACATAAGTCGTATGTAAGAATTTGACGATCCGTTCTTCCTGTGTTTAGGAGGGTGAGAAAATACACCAGGTAAACGTATTGTTCGCGTTTAGATTATCAACATGTTTAGAATCCAAAGCGTTTACATTCCAAACAATTCTCAACAAGTTTCGGACACAACCCTATTTAGGAATCCAATAATGATTAAATTATCGGACAAAGATAAAACACCTTTTACAGCGTATTTACCAATTCACCGTCTACTAGGGGGAGGAAGTGTCCACAGCTATTATAAAGACAGAGATCATATTGGATGACTAATTTTTACCTGTAATAGTGGTCTCGGTCTTACGAAAACTTAGTGTTGCCTTGCTGCATTGGCTAATTTTTTGCTTATGAGTTAGTGAGTGAGTGAGTGAGTATGGTTTTACGCTGCGTTTAGCAATATTCCAGCAATATTCCGGCGGGGGACACCAGAAATGGGCTTCACACATTGTACCCATGTCGGGAATCGAACCCGGGTCCTCGGCGTTTTGCTAATGAGTGAAGTCATACTTTTATATATAGGCGTTATTGTGAGAACATAAGTTCTTGAAATGCATGACGTTGTTACCTGTTATTTAGTGTATGCTATTTTTCAGAATCTTCAGTCGTCATATCACCGACATTGAAAATAACCATCGTTGTTCCGACACAAGATATGTATGCAATGGAGGATAAGAGAAAACGTTTTCTGTGATGAGTAACGCATGACAGTCAACGTGCGAGATAATAATTACTTGAATACTTAAAGAAACACATTAAAAAGAAAACACATAAGTGGCATAGTCAAGTGGACTAAATACATTCACATACATTCTTTTGAATACGGGTGTGGGGGGGGGGGGGATCCCAGTCGTCTAAGGCGCCGAGATTCGCTGTGCAGAGTTGCGTCCCTTGGGCACACCAGAAACCTATGATTGTGGGTTCGAATCCCGATTCGTCCGGATTATGTTTCTAGGTTTGTCAGCACCATACCCGTGCTCTTGGGTTTCACCGAAGTGGTAAACGTCTGAGACCTGCATCACTTCGGGCTTTCCTCCCACATTAAGCTGACACGCCGTGATATAACTGGAATTATGTTAAAAGCGGCGTTAAACCCAACTCACTCACTCACTCTTGTTCTTGTTATGGTAGTCTATTGAATGTTTTGGGTTGAGTTCGGTTGAATGTAGAATGTATGATTCTTGTATAGAAAATTTAATGTTTTAATCCCGGCTGAATGCATGGTGTCTGGTTCTTGTATAGAATATTTAATGTTTTTATCACGGTTGAATGCTTGCTGTCTGGTTCTTGTATAGAAAATTGAATGTTTTTATCTCGGTTGAATGCTTGCTGTCTGGTTCTTGTATAGAAAATTTATTGTTTTTATCACGGTTGAATGCTTGCTGTCTGGTTCTTGTCTAGAAAATTTATTGTTTTTATCACGGTTGAATGCTTGCTGTCTGGTTCTTGTATAGAAAATTTATTGTTTTTATCACGGTTGAATGCTTGTTGTCTGGTTCTTGTATAGATAATTGAATGTTTTTATCACGGTTGAATGCTTGCTGTCTGGTTCTCGTAGAGAAAATTGAATGTTTTTATCTCGGGTGATTGCACGATATCTAGTTCTTGTATGGAATACTGAATGTTTTAATCCTGAGTGTTTAACTTTTGAATGTTTTTATCCCGCGGCGTATGCATGACGTCTGGTTCTTGTATAGAGTACTGAATGTTTTAATTACGGGTGAATGCAGACTGTCTGGTTTTGGTATAGAATATTTGATGTTTTAATCCAGCGTGACTGCATGCTGTCTGATTATTGTATACTATTGAATGTTTTAACTCCGGGTGAATGCATGAAATCTTGTTCTTGTAGACCATTGAATATTTTAATACACGTGATTGCATGATGTCTGGTCCTTGTGACATGGAAGTAGTGCTTGGAAAAATGCCTCTCTCGGGCGTCATAATATCAATTTTGTACCGGAATATTCCATCACCCTATGAAAGGAGAAATGTCAATTCTTGCCATGACATTATGGGTTCCTGCATTCTGATTGTTCCTCGGTGTACCTCAAACAGAAATTACCTATTTGAAAACACTTCTTTATGAAAACCCATCAGTAGGCAATATCCAATATTATTTGAACTTAAACGACTTAAGGCATTAGACAAGTGTGACAATACATTACTCGTATTCAGTTACTCTTTGATTTATTTACAGGGTTAAAACGGGAAAGATGGCACGGAAAAGTAGAGATTTCATGTTGCACTTTGTGCGCGACTTAATGGACAAGACTGTGGACGAAGCTGACTTGATTCACTCTTTACGCCAGATCATGAGAAAGGACAAGGCGAAGAACAAAGACAAGGGTAAGAACAATGACATACTGTCAAGCTATAGATATAATGAGAAGGAGAAGAACAAGCATCAGAAATTATTAACGTCAGATTCAGGAGAGTCGGTGCTTCATATTGCCGTCAGCTGTAGAAGGAATAGAGTTGCCGAGGAAATAGTCGATTGTATTCCAAGTTTAATCAACTGTGAGAGGAAGGACGATGACTACCGTGGACAGACGCCATTCCACATTGTCATTGCCATGGCCCACAGTGAAACTACTGGTCAGCAAAAATTACTGGAACACATGATTAAAAAACTCAAACGTGAAGATGAACAGAATGATAGTCATCTGCTCAAAGAGGCGATCGAACGTCGAGTTGTAGGAAAGAAATTAAGAGGTACTGTGATGTTAGGAGGGACACCGTTGTCCATTGCTGCTTTGAATCATAACGAAAATATAGTTGACCTTCTCCTGGAAAATAAAGCTGATCTTTTAGGTTCAAACAGTTTTGGGAATACAGTTTTTCACTCGTTGGTCCTGTACGTATCTTTCTATCCAGGAAAAGAGAGTGACATCCTCAACATGTTTGACACGTTGGCACGAAAGAACAAACAGCATAAAGGTTTAAAGTATAACAGACAATATATACAACGAGAAAATGCTCGTAAACAAACAGCGCTCCATCTTGCTGCCGAGTTGGGTCTGGACAACGTGTTTAAACACATTCTTGATATGGAAGATGCATACAAGTTCTTCACTAGTCATGACGGCGTTTTTGATATCTACGAGTGTGATATAACAGAGATTGATAAGGTAACCTGGGATAAGGCTGTTCTGCAGATGTCACCTGACTACAGGAATACAGACCACAGAGCCGAGGGGCTGGCAAAAGGCAAAGAGGATTCAGGAATAAAAACCTATTGGAAGAGATTGAGACAAAATACGAACCAGAGTATTTTGGAAATCATATGCAGTTTGAAGACAACGACGGCTTATGCGTTTCTGAACGCCTACACGGTCCAAGAAGTGGTGTACTTAAAGTGGCAGAAGAACTGGCATTACTACTACATTGGCCTCTTTCTTCACCTGTCACTGATGAGTATCCTCACCTGGCATTTAGATCTCAAAGTTGATGCCATCCTGGATCCTGACCCGGCGCAGAAGCAGATCTTGAACCTCAGGGTTTTGAACATCATCTTTATCGTCATAAGTCTCCTTTATGTAATTCTAGAAATTCACAGGACATTCTTTTCGTGGCAACCATTCCATATAACAAGACTGCATCACAATGGAGTATACAGGTGCATATTTGTGCTGTTTGGTTTGGCATTACTGACAGACGCGTCGTGGAATGTTGTAACTGTTACAAACAACTACTGTCTGGTGATAGCATTGATCCTTGGTTGGTGGTCAACAATCTTCTTCCTCCGTGGAATCTCACCTTTCAGCTACGTTACTCTTATGTTACAGAAAGTCCTTTTTGGGGATATGCTGAAATTTATACCAATTATTTTCATAATGATGATAGCATTTACATGTGCAATGTACAGTTCGATGGCGATAACTCAACCTGACGCTTTTGGGAACTTCTCTACAAGTCTAGTGACGATGTTTAAACTGATGACTGGTCAGGCAGAGATAGATGGACTTGAGGGAGCATCACAGCATGGGTCTATCCCAGTTTTTGTCTTCTCTGTGATAGTCATCCAAATATTCCTCCTCAACATCCTCATCGCCATTATGTCCAGGACATGCGAAAGTGTTGAGAATTCAAATAAACTGTTGTGGCTACAGAGATTGTCCATTGTCTTATTCATTGAAGGTATACTGCCTAAATGTCTGAAGAAGGCCATGGGGACAGAGCAAAAGACAGATTATGGCAGTACGAGATATCTTCTCATAATTGACCGTTTGAGAGACGGAGACTCAATGTTCAACAACATGTTTGAAGAAAATGGCAGTTTGAATGCTACATCACTGCGCAACTTTATAAACAACCGTAAAATAGGGGAGGCAACAACACTCCCTGGCACAAACCACAATCCCGGACCACAAACTATCCAGCATCTATATATTGATGACTATTTGAAGAGTACATAAATAAATGAAGACATCATCGTAAAAGTGACAAGCCACATACGAAGTGTAACTCAGGATCATTGTCAAAAACCTATATATGGCTAAACACATGAAGGATCGTGGACTTCGTTCAAGTAAAGGGTACAACCAATTGCCTTTTAAACAACCGTTAATGTTCGGCACATTATAAAAATATTATCTCTAGAAAAGGTGAGGTGAGACAACTCACGCCTTTTACTTACACATTTGTTATTGTAAGGTTTGTGGAACAGTCTACTTGCTTCAAAATGTGGTGTTTACGAATCCGGAAATGTTCTAGACTTATCACTAGGCAGAATATTTCATGTTAGTTATTTGAATCTCATCTCAAGGTTTGATATCCATGGTAGTTGTGAAAACGTCATGAAACATGTACTATACTTCAATATATCAACTGCGGGTAGATTTACGGGGAACATTTTGTATATTTATTATCTGGATTTAGGACGTCGCTGTGCTCACAAATGACGTCATCGACTTTCACCTAGGAAGATGTGAACAGAAAATTACCACTATTTGTTTATTTACTATGCCGAAAACTAGCATTGTTACGCCATTGATATCAAATGGAAAACTTGTAAACAATATGCAAAGATGTTGGGGTTTAACTTTACGGTTTCACCTGCAGCTGAAAGAACTATTTATGGAAATGATAACAATTATTATTGTCATTTTGTCATGTATATCCTGTGCGATTTCCAAATCAATACATATTATGGATGTCAGCTGTAACTTGTTTTACTTTATTCCTGTAAATATTCACCAAATACCGCCTGTCTGAACTTGTTGTGTTTCATCTGCAGCGAGGGGGGGGGGGGGGGGGTCTGTAGGACGGGTAGTCCAGTCGTCTAAGGCGCCGCAACTAGCTGTGCAGAGTTGCGTCCTTTGGGCACGTCGTTTTTGCCTGGGCTGGGCTGTCTACTCGCTTCTTGCAAACACAAGGACAAATTGATGACAGTGACTGTTGTACGGCAGCAATTGCACTATCTGTATTGAAGTGCAAGTTATCGTCGGACTTATGTCATAGTGTTGACACTCCTTTTTATGATTTTCGCTAAGATTTACTCATTAGCTTTGTATACGTATTCACGTTGTCGATACGTTTTATTACCATGTGTGTTTGAGCTGGAAACGCCGCTCATCGTTGTGCTTGTGATGTCTGAGAAGTGATTAGGCTCATCATGTATTTGTTGTGTATTGTTAACATGATGTTTCAATGTCATGGAACGGGATGCCGATGTTGTATATCCTATCCCGGAAGAGCTAATGACCTGATGACTGCTTGGGGACAGAGGGTGGAAAACAGGGGTGGTATGATTAAACTGTTTAAAAGTGACAGATACTTTAGTCGATTACGACTAGTTGATATTGAGACGTAATCGTCTATTTTGTAGTCCAAGTGACTCATTTTAGGGATGAGCTCTCGGTGTTTATTTCCCCCTTACTATTCACTAATTAGAGGGTGGAGTTAATTAACTCATGTGTTAATTGGTCGCAGCCGACTTAACTGACAGTCTACGCACCTGGTCCGTATCTTGTCAAAGTGTTGTTTTAGCTAGCCTCCTTTTTATAGCTGTAATAGAGTTGTTTGGCTAAAACTTGGTTGCATATTTGAGCTGATAGAACTAACTTGTGATCTGTGTGAGCGCAAATGTATCTTTAATTGTTTACTATTAGTACAATTAGTAGTTATTTAATAAACCTGTGATCGTATTACCACGTTTTCTTTATCACTTTGTTCTTATTTTATGACACCCCTGATCATTGGTGCACAGCTCCGTGACAGATTGGAAAAGGTGTTCTCCAGTATTTTAACGCTAGATAACAACTTTGTGATACACACTATTATGCATATCTTTGCACGTTTATTGATTTTACCAATGCTTCGATATATGTGGAGAAAAGGTGTAATGTTTAAACCATGACAAATGGTATATATTAACAACATGTCACACTTGTCGAAAATATGTACAGCCAAATCAGGCAAAGTGGTAATATTGTACTAGGACAATTAGCCAATTAGGAGAACTCGTTCCACTTTTTCTTCAATATTTTGTAATGACGTGGAGACAAGTACAATGGAGATTTCTTATGATTTTGGAAAGGGTTTTTATCGTTTTTATTTAAACTCTCGAGAAGAACACGCGATAATTGGTGCAGGAACGTGACTTCCGGAACACCCACAAGAGAATTGAGTGTTGTGACATGTGTACCATGTACATCTGTTCACGGGAAGACGCCATCTTGGAAAAGAAGAATACCTCAAGCAACGATAGAACTAAGCAGCTCTGTCACCAGATGACGGATGGTTGTCGATGGTATTCTGGAACGAAGACTCCAACATTACCGTCGTGACCGAACAGGGTTCCCCGAGAGTGGCAAGTCTGTTTGCTGATGCCCTGGAGAACTGATAAAGCCAAATTGCCCCATGTGTCATTTTCAAAAGAGTTTATACCCAGCATCACTATTGTCTCCTTTAACTTGAAATATAGTCTGGAAGTTAATTTAAGGTACCGACGTTTACTACAATATCTGAAAAACTATTGGACCTACTCCAGTCAAAGTTGGTATGAGATTAGTAAACAGTCATACATAACTGGATATTACATTTAAAGACAATCGGTGCATGAATAAAAAAATCTGTCTATTTAGCTATCACTATATTTCATCAACAACCAGACCCGTTCGTCAAGGGTGGAACGAGCATTCATTGTAACAGCCATCTGCATAATGCTACCCCTGCGTCACAGGGCTATATTACACAGTTGAACCAATCAACTCAACTCGAAAGGTTGCACGGGAATCACGCACGCACGAATACGGTGTTAGCATTAGATTTCATGATGTCTTAGCGCAAGCATCTTTCCGCTGATGCGAAAGGTTTCGTTGTTAAAATATTTGAATACCTTAAGGCTGAAACTGAAAGACGTTCGCCCTTCTTTGACATTTCAAAGTACATGAAAAGAACAATTCATGCGTTACAGCTTCCCTAATAAACCGTAGTTAAGATTTTGAACTCTCATAAAAACACAAGCTCCCCTGCACATCCCTTAGGGGGCATCTCAAAACAGGATAGGAAATTAAAGTTAGATTCCTTTGATAAGAAAGTTGTCAGGGACGTGATTCGGCGGTTAACACGAAACGGTTAACACGAAAACTAAAACAAATTCTCCTTACAGAGCATGACTTAGATATTACCAAATAGACCATTTGTAAACTCCTTTCCAAATTTGGATATCAGTACAAAAAAAACGAAAGGATCGAAACTAGCAATGTGTGAACGACCAGATATCATTCGTTTGCGTATCAATTATTTGCGCACTATTAAAAAGAAACGAGATGAAGGCTATGAACCTGTCTATTTGGACAAAACCTGGGTTAACGCCTGCCACACAGGGCTTACCAATGGTCTCACCCAGATACCAGAGAGCCACAGCGCAAGGTCCCCTCCTGGTAAAGGGGAGCGCGTGATTGTCTTCCATGCAGGCTCCCACAGAGGTTTCCTCCCTGGCAGTGATCTAGTGTTCAGATCCAGATCTACAGATGGCGGAGACTACCATACCGAGATGAATAGTCAGGTTTTCACTGCGAAAGTTGAGGAGCAGCTCCTCTTAGCACTGCCTGATAAATCCTTGGTGGTTATGGACAATGCTCCCTATCACAGTTGTCGAGATCCTATTAACCGTTGTCTAACCTCAAATTCCAACAAAGGTGAGATATGTCAGTGGTTGGACAACAAAAGCATTGCTCGGCCCACGAAAGCCAAAACAACTGACTACTACCAACTGGTTCCTCAGAACAAACCCCCGCCCTCTTATTTGATTGACAACATGTTGAGAGAACACGGTCACGAAGTGCTTAGACTTCCTCCTTACCATTATGACTTGAACCCCATCGAACTAATCTGGGGTGATTTTAAAAATATGGTCGCACGGCAAAATAAGACCTTCAAGCTTGCCGACGTCAAGCAGATTGTCCTGATAGGGATGGGAGAAATTACAGATGTACGTTGGGCAAACTGTGTCCAACATGTTATCAAAGTTGAGGAAGAGTATTGGAAACAAGACTTTATCCGACCAGATACTGTCCAGCCTGTTGTTGTTCATTTAGGTGACAGCACAGACTCCGAATCTGACGACGAGGGCATTTCGTGGGACCAAGAATAGTGCAATACATATACCCCTGTTTCACTACGACATGTAATAGCCCGAATGACCACGGATATTAATTCTTACATATTCGTACATATTCTTAATCAGCCCCGAAAGTCTCGAATCATCTACGAAAATATTAAAATATTTTCTTCGAAACCATAAAGCAATGATTTGTCTAAATGAATAATTACGTATGATATATACACCTAATAACATGATGCATGAAATATAATAATGTGGCAAGGAATGATACATTCAAGTCAATAACACTGACCTGAAAAAGAATGCAAAAATAATTGGATAAATATTATTAAATAACTGCTTGACACGCCCAACGCTAACACCGTATTCGTGCGTGTGTGATTCCCGTGCAACCTTTCGAGATGAGTTGATTGGTTCAACTGTGTCATATAGCCCTGTGACGCAGGGGTAGCATTATGCAGATGGCTGTTACAATGAATGCTCGTTCCACCCGTGACGAACGGGTCTGGTTGTTGATGAAATATAGTGATAGCTAAATAGACAGATGTTTTATTCATGCACCGATTGTCTTTAAATGTAATATTCAGTTATGTATGGTTGTTTAATAATCTCATACCAACTTTGACTGGAGTAGGTCCAATAGTTTTTCAGATATTGTAGTAAACATCGATACCTTAAATTAACTTCCAGACTGTAGTTGACACCTAAAGAGCAAGCGCAGTATTCTGAGGCACAATTTGTACGATGAGTTAGTAACAATTTATAGAAATGAATATATGGGCGTGTATAGCATTTATGAAGTAGCAAATGTACAATTCAAACATTTAACATGTTCACATCTATTGCTTTCTTCAGATATGTGCTGATAGAAAGGTTAAAAATGAGACCATCACATCCTGTGGTTATCTGCTCTAAGTTCAATTAGCCCTTGTCAGATTCAGTCTGTTTGGAAGCTGATGTATTGGTCTTGAAATAGATTGAAAGATCATCACTTGTTTTTCTGCTTGTTCTTATTCACTCGCAGTTGTGTGGCCTCGCACATCAAAAGGTAATCGAGGAGCAATATAACCTGGAATCTCTATGGGAACATTTACCATAAGAACACTCTCAAAGATACAGTACATAGCAAAACTACAATCTTAAAAAATCACAATTTTAGAAGATGGATAAAAATCATTTTAATGAGTACATGATGTGAAGGGCGTATTGAGACTATTTACATTCATGGTCCGTGATATGAAGCATTTGATGTCTCACCTCCGACATCAAATCTTTGTTTCCGGATTTGATTCAAAGATTATCTAGTCCTTCTGGTACATCTAGTTCGTCTGGTTCATGTAGTTCATGTAGTTCATTTTGTACACCTAGATACCTCATTCATCCAGAGGGGTACAGGTTGCCCAGTCGTCTGAGGCGCCGCGATTCGCTGTGCAGAGTTACGTCCCTTGGGCACGCCAGAAACCTATGATTGTGGGTTCGAATCCCGGTAAGCCCCGATTATGTTTCTAGGTTTGTCAGCACCATACCCGTGGAAGTGGTAAACGTCTAAGACCTGCATCACTTCGGGCTTTCCTCCAACATTAAGCTGACACGCCGTGATATAACTGGAATAATGTTAAAAGCGGCGTTAAACCGAACTCACTCACTCATTCATCTAGAATAAATTTGAGAAATAATCTTCATTCGTGTGGTGGAACAAGCCAGTGATTGGTCAGTCGGACCAACGCCTACCCGTTATGGCCACTGCTAATTGCCAATGTTACCGTGGATGTTGTAGGTGGGTGTAGGGTCCCCTGTCCATAGCTTCACGAGTGCCAGTTAAGGAGTTACAGACATCGTTACAGCGTTACATTGCAAGTGCAGATATAAGATGACGGCTCACCCAGTGCGTAGGCGTGGCAGCTTTGTCCGGCTTCCGTGCGTGATAAGTATTTGTGTATTGAGCGACGTACGACCAATTTTTCTGCTTATGTAACACTATAAGTATATGGAATAGAGTTAAGTTGGTTGGTTTGTTGTTTAACGCCGCACTCAGCAATATTCCAGATATATGACGGCGGTCTGTAACTAATCGAGTCTGGACCAGACAATCCAGTGATTAATATCATGAGCAGACATTATTTACAGACCGCCGTCATATAGCTGGAATATTGCTGAGTGCGGCGTTAAACAACCAACCAACCAACCAACCTATTTGCTCTTGATGCTACATAAACGTATAAGCAATGTAAATTAATCTGTATCAACCTGAAAATTTACACCCTGTATTTTCCTTTTGTTATGAATAACGTTCCATAGAGAATTAGAAGAACCAATTCATATGTGCAAACTTATAACACACCCTTTGCATATGGAAAAGGGTATACCGCTCCATACTAACCAACTCACCTTTACAAATACAGCTCCATACCGACTTGGAATGACAGCTTCTGTTCTAACTTGCAATAGAACAGCCTATTTCTGTTTGATAATGAATAACGGTCAGTACTGACTAGTGATCTCTATAAGCGAATGGTAAACACGTACCTCTCCTGTAGAATCTAGCATGATTCGCTTAGACACTGTGCTCTGTATCAGTGTCTAAACTTTATGCTTTAAGTCATCATAACATATCACCATGTGTGCCCTATCATCCATTACATACATGTCATACGTTGGAACAATGGCAATTTTTCAGTGACAATGAAATATCAATGATATCAACTGCAGATACATGCTAAAACACTGATCATGAGAACTACAAAGTACAACTCATTGATCCCATATAACGTCAAAGCTGGAGAATAATAAATCCCGAATATCGTTCGAAAAATGAGGCGTTAGAGGCAAAATAGTGCTAAAAATGATATATGGATTACTGAAAATCAGTGATGACACCAGGCGATCACGAAAAAGAAGGTACCGGTAGCACCCGCCACTCACACAATTTGCATAAAAGAGGCAAAGCATTACGTTACCTGGCGCTGCACAACAACAGTACGCCTGCCATACAACAGCGACCCGTCGAGGCCCGACCAGACAATCAAGTGATGGACAAGACAACCCAGTGACACGATTGCACATTTACCAAATTTGTTGAAACTAAAGCTATATGTTAAAGTTTAATTACGTCTGCAATGTACAAGTGCAGAGATTCTGCTGCGCACAAGTAAAGAGAAACGTTTGACAAATATGTTCACTTTGCAACACAATGGGGGTACAGTTTTAATGTCTGAGACCAAACATTTCATTTGCAGTTGACTCAGCATAATAGATAAATCCTACTGAGCTCATGCTGAAGCTTGGGGACCAGCAGACACATCAACGCAGTTCAGTAACTATATAACGTCAACGCCAGAAAATAACCAGTCTCGATTATCTGCTGAAACAGTTTCTAGTGGGCGTAAAGGGCAAACAAAGCGGTGAAAATTACATGAATGGAACAGCGACCATAGAATTTGCCTGAAAAGTAAATGTTTGTTTGTTGTCTGACGTCGCTTAGCAGTACTCAACAACCACAGCTTTTAGCTGACTCAGCATAAACTAAAAAGTAAAATCTTATTTTTATGCTGTGAGACCTGGAGACCGTTGGCGTGGATAGGTTGCTATGAGCGCGGCATGTATTTATCTATTTCACCACAGACGCTTTTGCAAAGCATTTAATATCTCTTTGTAAGGTACCCAACAGGGCAAACAATTCAAACGATCTCACAGGCACATTCACTGGGGATCGGAGCGACGCTATTTTTCTACAATAAAAAAACCCAACATGCTCGTTTTTCATTTGAATGAAATTGATATGAAATATATTTTAGTCTTTTCTTATTTCTGTCCTGTGAATATGATATATGATATATATTTAGTGAGGAGAAATTATTTACTTCCAGTTATATGAGTTTAACAAGTTTAACTGAATGTTGAATTTGAATTCACTGTTTCACTCACTCACGTATGCACGACCGCCTCCATGGTCTAGGGGTAGAGCGTCTGCCAGGAGAGAGAAGGTCAGTGGTTCGATCCTACACCGCGTCATACCAAAATACGTTAAAAGATGGTACTTCTTGTTACCCTGCCTGACATTCGACATTAAGGGGATAACACAAGGACTGCTGGGTTTTCAGTCAGTGTACTGTGTCTGAGTGGGGTATCCATGTTAACGTACCAGTTTACAAGGATGCAATTATGAATATACGAAACGATATTTCATGCCATTGTACCATATGCTGGAATCTAAAAACTAAATTCTAAACTATTCTGGACAAGCTTAGGAAACAAACATATCAAGGAATCAAGACACGTTTAAACAAATGGTTTAATGATAATGAGAAATAAGTTATCATACAACATAGTTAGTACCTATGAGCCATTTTATATGGGGCAGCACGTGCTCTCTACTAATATGAAGACAGTGAGTGAGTGAGTGAGTATGGTTTTACGCCGCTTTTAGCAATATTCCAGCAATATCACGGCGGGGGTCACCAGAAATGGGCTTCACACATTGTACCCATGTCGGGAATCGAACCCGGGTCTTCGGCGTGACGAGCGATCGCTTTAACCACTAGGCTACCCGACCGCCCCATGAAGACAGTGAGTGAGTGAGTTGGGTTTAACGCCGCTTTTAACATTATTCCAGATATATCACGGCGTGTCAGCTTAATGTTGGAGGAAAGCGTGAAGTGATGCAGGTCTCAGACGTTTACCACTTCGGTGAAACCCACGAGCACGGGTATGGTGCTGACAAACCTAGAAACATAATCGGGGCGAACCGGGATTCGAACCAACAATCATAGGTTTCTGGCGTGCCCAAGGGACGCAACTCCGCACAGCGAATCGCGGCGCCTTAGACGACTGGGCCACCCGTGCCCCCTAGTAATTGAAGACAGGGTTTATATTGGCTGAATAATGATAAGGCCCAGGTGTTAGGTTACTCACCATCTTGTATTGGCACTTTTCAAATATTCATTTATTGCGTGACATGCTGAGACGATAACTTTTGGAACATTAGTTCTTGAAATGTAGTTTCCTTTAGGTACGCAGAATGTGCGATATAT